TCCACAGATGACCATCCAACAGCCAGAAAGGCTCTCTGAGCTAACTCACTTTGCACCTGTAAATGATAAAACTGTCCAAGAGATAATCTCCAGTTTGAGCTCCTCCACATGCAGCCTGGATGTACTACCCACTAGATTTCTGAAGTCTGTTCTGAGCAGTCTGATACCTTCACTCACACAGATAGTAAACATGTCCCTTCATTCTGGAATATTCCCAAAGACCCTGAAAACTGCAGTCATCAGGCCCCTGCTAAAAAAGAGCAGTCTCGATGCTACGGTACTTAACAACTATCGTCCCATCTCAAATCTGCCATTTATGGGGAAAGTCCTTGAAAAAGTTGTCTACCTACAGCTTACTAGATTTCTTATAATCAACAACTCATTTGATATGTTTCAGTCCGGCTTTAGACCCCACCACAGCACTGAGACTGCTCTTGTTAAGGTTACAAACGATATCCGGCTGAACACTGACGCAGGCAAAGTCTCAATCTTAATCTTGTTAGATCTAAGTGCTGCCTTTGACACTGTCGACCATGAGATCCTCTTACAGAATTTAGAGGACTGGGTTGGAGTCGCTGGCACCGCCCTAAGTTGGTTTAGGTCTTACCTTGAGGACAGGAAGTACTTTGTGGAGATTGGAAACTGTGTCTCAGATCATATGGCCCTGACCTGTGGAGTACCACAGGGGTCGATCCTGGGACCTCTTCTGTTCAATCTCTACATGCTGCCGTTAGGTCAGTTAATACGCAGAAACGAAGTTTCCTATCATAACTATGCAGACGACACTCAGATCTAGGTCTCACTGAGTGTCGTTTGGGGCGGCACGGTGGCTGAGTGGATAGCACTCTCGCCTCTCAGCAAGAAGGTCCTGGGTTCGAGCCGGACCAGGGCCTTTCTGAGTGGAGTTTGTATGTTCTCCCCGTGTCTGCGTAGGTTTCCTCCGGGTACTCCGGTTTCCCCTACCACTAAAAACATGCACAATAGGTCTGGCATGCGCCTCCTGTACTGGCGACCCCGCTACCATCTATGTGTGGAGTGAGAGACAAATGCCCAAAAATAATAACAATTGTAAACCGCTTTGTGACTCTGGTCTGTGAAAGGCGGTATATAAATAAAGATTACTTACTTACTTACTTACTTACTGACTGCAGGAGAACATGGACCAGTGGACTCACTCCTTCACTGTATCCAACAGATCAGTGAGTGGATGCAAAACAACTTCCTTCAACTAAACGCAGACAAAACTGAAATGATTGTCTTTGGTTCCCAGAAACAAAGAGAGAGCGTCATCTGTCACCTACAGTCTCTCTCCCTAAAACCTTCAAACAAGGTCAGAAATCTAGGGGTAATACTGGACTCAGACTTAAATTTTAATAGCCACATCAAATCAGTAACATCAGCAGCTTTTTACCATCTAAAAAACATTGCCAGGATCAAAAACATAGTGTCTAAAGCAGACCTGGAGATTCTTATCCATGCATTTGTCTCCAGTAGGTTAGACTACTGCAATGGCCTGCTCACAGGTCTGTCCAAACAGGCTGTAAAACAGCTGCAGTACATTCAAAATGCAGCAGCTCGAGTCCTGACAAGAACCAGGAAGTACGACCACATTAGTCCAGTCCTCAGGTCTCTGCACTGGCTTCCTGTGGCTCAGAGAATAGACTTTAAAACAGCTCTGCTTGTGTACAAGTCTCTCCATGGCCTCGCACCAAAATATATTAGTGACATGTTAGTCCCATATGAACCAGGCCGGACTCTGAGGAGCACAGGGACTGGACTCCTGTTAGTGCCCAGAGTCAGAACTAAACATGGGGAGGCTGCTTTTCAGATTCATGCTGCTAAAATCTGGAACAGTCTTCCTGAAGATGTGAGACAGGCCTCCTCTCTGACAATGTTTAAAACCAGGTTAAAGACAGTTCTGTTTAGCTGTGCATACAACTGAGGGATTTTATATTTGTATCTTTCTTTTTAATGTTCTGTGATTATTTATGATTTTAATGCTTTCTTGTTTTGTTCAGCACTTTGAATTGCCTTGTGTATGAATTGTGCTATATAAATAAACTTGCCTTGCCTTGCCAGTGTTCCGCGGCCGGGACGAAAACCACACTGCTCCTCCTGAATCCGAGATTCAACCATCGGCCGTAACCTCCTCTCCAGTACCTTGGAGTAGACCTTACCAGGGAGGCTGAGGAGTGTGATCCCACGATAATTGGAACACACCCTCCGGTCCCCCTTCTTTTAGAGAGGGACCACCACCCCGGTCTGCCACTCCAATGGTACCGCCCCCGAGCGCCACGCGATGTTGCAGAGACGTGTCAGCCAAGACAGTCCTACAACATCCAGAGACTTTAGATAGTCAGGACGGATCTCATCCACCATGGAGGCTGCCAACCACCTTTGTGACTTCAGCCAGGGAGATGGAAGCATCGGCCCCAACATGTTGTCCCTTCCTTTGATAATAACCAGTATACAGGTGGCATTTTTTTTTTTATCTCTCCAAGGCTTTTGATCTAGTAGACCACTATTTACTTTTGGACAAACTTTACTCAATAGGTCTCAGTAGAAATGCTCTTTTATGGTTCTATGCTTCACAATAGACGACAGTTTGTAGTTTTTAATGGTTCTAAAACTGGTCTCTCTATCATGGAAAAAGGGGTACCACAGGGCTCAATCCCACTTATTTTTATAATATAATATTCCTGGTCTAGGAGAAATACAAAGGAGTAATGGTCATTTTAAGGACCTGATGGCCGCCATTTTGAAAATGGCGCCTTTTTTGGAGTCAAACTTTAGTAAACTTTTTACATGTTTTTAAGTACACCTGATACTACTGTAAACCACTGAAAGGCAAGGCAAGGCAAGGCAAGTTTATTTGTATAGCACAATTCATACACAAGGCAACTCAAAGTGCTGAACAGACCAAGAAAGCATTAAAATCATAAATAATCACAGTACATTAAAAAAAAAAGATAAAAATATAAAATCCCTCAATTGTATGCACAGCTAAACAGAACCGTCTTTAACCTGGTTTTAAACATTGTCAGAGAGGAGGCCTGTCTCACCCTGAAAACCCTTTTGTTAGAATTTTTTTGGGGTCAAACCATATTTGCAGCTGACCCTACTGTACATGTATTGTCTCACAATCTATTATAAAAGAAGTTTATTGTGGGCATATTTATATTGCATATTTCATGAAGGTTCTGAATTTGTTAATATATATATTTTTAATTGTACAGGCTCTTAGCACCTTGGAATGTGTCATCAAGCTCTTTCCATAGAGTCACACCTTTTCTAAAAATGCAGTGACTTTTCAAGGCGGTACTTCTAGTTTATGCTTTCCCATCAGACAGTAACTTCTTTCTGTCTTCAAGCATTGTCTGAATGTTTTGCATGAGCTCATCATTTCTAGACTTATCAATAGTGATTTTAATTGTGTAATATCTTCTGAACAATCTGCATCTGTGAACACTTCAAATTTCTATTTTCTGAGAGGGGCAGAAGATGACTGCTGTAGGTGTTTCACCAGATTTCAGTAATTTATGTAAGGCAGGACAAGTGAGCAATATAACATAGTAACCGTTTATGATCCAGTAGATGTTTACATTTGCTGACTAATTCAATATTATTTGCCATTTTTGAGCTGATTCTAGTTGCATCCTTATTATGCCAAAGTTTGAGATTTTATGCTTTCTTCTTCATTATGCTAGAGATTTTATTTATATGAAGCTGAAAGCGCAGGTTCAGACTGAAAGACCGAGTGCCTGCCAATCTCTCAGCGCTGCCAGCCTCAAGCCTCAGCCAATCACACAGCCCGGCCAGCCTCCTGCCAACCCTCTCACAGCAAAGCGGGCAGTTTAAAAGGCAGCCACTTCCTGACAAGCAACGCTTCCTGAGGCTCTTAAACACCCACCACCTCCCCAGCACCCCCTCTGGCTCCTGCTCTGGCTCCGGCTCTAGGCTCCTGCTCTGGCTCCTGCTCCGCCTACGCCCCATTCACACCATACTCTAGCCACCACCAGTGCTTGACCCCGGGGGATCTGAGATCATCTTCAGCTGCAATTGATCTCATCGCTGCAAGTGTCACTGCCGGGGTCAATGCGCCAAACAAATACATATTTTTTTATGTATTAATTGTGTCTTTGGTCTCTTCAGATTTAATTGGTGTTGTGTGTCCCTCATTCATACTGTTCTGCAACCAGTCATGAAATGTCCCCACTGTGGGACTAATAAAAGGATCTAATCTTAAGCTTAATTTAAGCAGAACTAGCTTCTTTACATATTTGTTTTCATAATAAGAACCGTCTAAGCCTCATTATACTGTATGGCTATCAGTAACAGCACACTCATGCTTTGTAAGAGTATCCTGGCAAACTCCTCACCCACTTGCGTTTTACAATGACAATGTTTGAAAGCGGCAATGCTGCTAATTTTTTTTCAATAATTTTTCTTCAATTTAACTTCAGTAGTTTGTGAAAAGACAGAATCACCTTCGGGAATCAACGTCTTCAACAGAAAACACATATTTTGTGATTTAAAATATATTTATTCATGATCAACAATGTTTGATACATATGAAAATACTGTACAAAAACTTTAAAAAAATAACATCTCTATCATCTCTATCATCCATTGCACATGAAAATATGGCATCATTCAGGGATTTTGAGAAGCTCATTTGTCAATAACATGTAACTTATTTAACAAACCATTGAGAAAGTATTCATTCTTTCTGCTAATAAAATGAAAGCTAAATCAATGTACACACTGAAAAAAGACATCCTTCATATTTGCTTGAATTGTATGATATATCCTGATTTGATGATTTAGAATTTACTATGAAAAGAAAACAAATGCCATTTGTGTCTTTGTTCAGTGGGACATTAGTGGTATTAACGGAAATAACTTATCTCTAGTTACAATTACAGTTGCCATCATTTCCATCCCGCACCATGTGTTTTTATTGCTACATCAGTTGATACTCCAGTTCACATTAGAGACCCTCAATTCATTGGGGCCTGAATGTCCACAGTAATAAAAGTGTACAGTACATTCTTCTCAATCTTCTTGACCGTATATGTAAGTGTGTTCATCCCGTCCTTATCCATGGTGTTCTTAGTCTGGGAAAGTTTTCCAGGATTCTGTGAGTTGGCTTCATTGTGCTTGTCCCTGTTATGTCTGATCATCTTGTATTTCCCAGTCACCATGTCCGGCCTTGACAAGGACATCCCTCGATGTGAAATACGATTAAAAATGTCATCATCTTCGCCGCCCCAGCCCCAGAATGTGTTTGAAAACCCATTGATCTTCATGTACTGGTTTTTGGAAAGTGATGAGACACCACCATAAAAGCTGTTATACGGTAAACCAAAATTGAATTTATCCATTGCTACGGCTAAATGTCTTGGTTTGTCAAAACATCGGTAGAGGTTGCGGTCATCCATTGGTATCAAATCAATGTCAGAGAAAACAAAACACTCAAAGTCATAGACTTTTAGAGCTTCTGCATAGCCAACATTCATTAGTTTAGCTCGATTGAAAATTCCATCTCCATCCTGATTGATGATGAAAATGCCATAGTCCAGCTGTTGTCTGATCAATATAGGGTGCAAGTAGTAAAGCCAATAATTCAAGTGTTCATACCGGTTTCGGAAAGATATGATCACAGCCACCTGAGGAGATAGAACAGTGTTAAATTTAGTCCCAAGAAATGAGCTATGGACATTATTTATAGCACTAAAGAAAAGAGGGGAATCTTGTCCACCTGCGTGCGACAGACCATTCAGATCGCCCCAAGCAGGAAAGACAAAAGCATAACAAAGTAATATACATCACAGTGGAAAATGTAAACAAATAAATAAAGTATCAACCTGGCATGGCAAACAGGAGTTGGATTCATATCTACAGGGAAATAACTGATTTCTGCAGAATGTTGTAATGACCAGCTCAGTTTGAACCCATAAGGAAATAGACTCTTATCAATAACACAAATAGAATTATGGGAGATAGGAGATAGGGTTAACATAATTGCACAAAAAGTTTTATAAACGATCTATATCATTACAAAATAGTGCAGTTTTACCTTGTGTTTAGAGTTGCAAGTTGGTGGCTTGTATCGTCCTCCTTCTTGAAGAGTTTGATTGTATTGCTTCTTCAAATCATCCAACTTCACTTCAAAGTTAAATTCCACACGCAGAGGTCCTTTCAGATCTGGAGGCGTCTCGGGACAGTCTGGTAAACCTGGCGAAGATGTGAGTGTTGTTGTCACCTGCGTCTCATTTAATTTGCCGGTAAAGTCTTTCCAAAATCGAGAAGAGGATGGAAAGGTCTGCATGGGCACAATGTTTGTCTCTTTCTTAAACACCACTGCCACATAAGCTGCCACAATAAATAATCCAGAAACAGTAAGGACAGCAAATATCTTATAAAACATTTTTCAGCTCCAGCCAACCTGCCACTTGTTAGGCAGCAGGTAAGGGAAATGACATCCTGCATCCTCTTTTGCAAGTCAAACTGGAAGAAGTGGCTCAACGGGTTTATCTGTCCACTTCCTTGTTCCGTGGAATCAGAGGGTCAGGTGAAGCAAAGTTAATAATTTATGTGAAGTAGCCTTTACAGCTATATTGATGACCTTTCTGACAAACTTCCGTGCCTAAAGTGATATAAACCAGTCTGACTAAATACGTTATTTGGCAGATTAAAAAGGCCAAAGTCTGTAAAAATCTATCAGCCCGGTCAGCCCAAAGATGGCATTTCCATAGCTTGTAATAGCCTGAGATTATTGCATTTCATTTCATACAAAAAAACTTGAAAACATAAAAAGATAAAAAAGAAAAAAAACATAATTTAGTAATGGAAATACATTTTTTTGAAGTGTTCTTTATATTATTGGGTCATAATATTTTATGATTATAATAATACATGGCTCTGGTTGAGTAGTATTCAAGTATTCAAGTATGCCCTCTTGTGGCCTTTAAATTGCATTACACTATCGTGCTGTTTTCTGTTACCATTTTGGCCTTTCCCCCCCTCAATACTGCTTGTGTTTTCAAACTATTTGGAGTACAATCAACTCGCTGGAATCTTTGTAAAACAGAAAACTAGATTTCTAATAATTACATGCAATCTATAGTTAAAGGTGAACATAGTTCATAGCTGCTCGAATAATTCTCCTTTCACAGCTAATGCAGATTTAGCTCAAAATGAAAGAGCACTGAGAAAGGAAAGTTTTTTCAGGTTTATCATTTAATATGGCATTGTAATTTTTTTTTTTTTTGTGTGTGTGCTTGGTGTAGAACAAGACATCCACTAACTGCTATCAACTAGACAAGTGCATACAGGGTGAATCCAATACAAAACGGAATTCGCAATCCAAAATTCACAATAATCTCCTCGAATGAGTGGTGAAGCCTTTGTTGGACTCTACTTGGACAACTCAGGAATTTAAATTAAGTCCTCTGTATAAAATGTAAACCCTTGTGGTGTCTTCTACATTTTTAATATACACTCTGCGTAAAAATGTGGTCAAAATTACCCACTTTCACTAAACTATAAACATATAAAGCCAACATGTCACTGATCAAAAAGGATATGTATAACTGAATGTTTCTTCTTCACAAGACAAAAAGAGACATTTTGTTTGGACAACACCATGGCACTCATTTTTAAATATCTATTTTATGATTTGTTTGTGTAGTATTTCTAAAAGTAATGAGAAAGTGTCAGAAGTATGCTTTTCCTTTGAATTCATATCTATAAGTCTGGGAACAGGGTAATAAAATACAGATACTATAGAACAAAAGACCACCCAACACTCTACTAATGATGTCACGTGCAGCAGAGTACATCTCACACCTGCAGCTGGTGGATGGTGAAGCGACACTTTATTGTCCCTGTAAGGTACATTTGCCCTTTGCAGTGTGACCCACCCCTCCTCTGTCAGGACTCAGCAGCAGAGGAGACTCTAGTGTGGCACCCAGGGGTATATTCAAGTTAGGAAAGGTCATCAAAATTAAGATTGAAAAAGAAAATACTAATTCTACTTTTATTCACTGTGGTGGGTCAATTTGACCTGAGGACAACACAAGGTTATGAAAAGCGTTTGGATTTAAGGCAATATTATTATGTAATCAGTCTCCTTTACTTGTAGAGAATCAAAGAAATGTAAAGCACATTGAGAAGTGTTTTTGTATGTGATGTCCTATATAAATAAATCATCTTCATCTTGGTGCTATGAGACTTGGGTGGCATCTCTGACTGCCACCCCCCTGACCCAGAAATGGATTAAAGGGTAGAAAATGGATGGATGGATGGATCTTCAAATGACACTTTGGACTAAGAGCTTATTGGTAGAGTAATTGGGTGGTTATGAATTTTTTTAATGTTCTGCCTGAAACAGTCCATGCATGTGAAAACTAATGATAGGACCAATCTGTCTTGAGAGCTAGGAACCCGGAGCACGGATTTTATTACATTATTGATTTTTTGTGGCTTGAACACAAGGTATCCCAGCTTTAAAAGTGTCAATAAGTCACTTTCCAAATTCTTTCTGAAGAAGGATACAGCAGCATATGAAAACATAAGAGAAAAACATCACAATACGTTATAGTGTAGGACGCTTTTGTAAGTGTCACCAAATACAAGCACTGTATGTATTTTGCGCTGCAGTTTATATCTGACCACTAGAGGGCACTCATGTTTCACAGATGAGGAATGGGACGAGGGTAAGTAGAAGGGAAATACCATTTCTCCAACAATCACACTGTAGGCTACATGAACATATCTCTAATGCACAAAATGTGTGTTCTGGCCCAAATGTACTGGTCTGAATAAATGGGCTGCTGTTTGCAATGAAACCTGATCACTGCGGCCTCAAAAGAAGGAATCTACTTTTGGTCTGAAAACTTTAATAGAATTCAGACTTTTTTTACACCACCTCCCGCTTTCTCGTTTGCTTATTTTTGCAGTTCCCATCATCTTGGATTAGAGAACAGAGGTCATGCTCACTGCTACACATTTGTAACTAGAGATGTGAGTTTGCTGGATTCAAATCCAAGCCAAACTGCTGGTAAACCCCTGCTGATGCAGCCACACAAGGCTCTGCTGGCACCAGCGCATCCCTCTGAAGATGGGTGGGACTGCTGCTTTTGGACCGACCATCCACTCAGCTTGCATACTTGTGGGACAAGACTGATATTTATGCAAATCCTGTGTAATTTCCCAATTAGAAATATACATATAGAACTAGGAATACGGTTTCTTTGGATGTTGCTGGCATTGAATACTATTCTAGTAGGCCAAAGTCTTCTTGCTATTACAAAACTCTTTTAAACTCTATTTCAAATACAACATTGAGTGGGGCAAAAAGAATTTAGTCTGCTGCCAATTGGAAAACTCTTCCCACAAAAAAAGATGAGAGATGCCTGTAATTCGAGTCAGAGATTGTGTACTTGTTATTGATGCTAGTTTAGCTATTGTTCACTTAACTTGTGCCATGTGCTCCTCTTTCCTACTGTTCTATAACTTCAGCAAGACTGAAATTTCCCCACTGTGGGACGAATAAAGGATCTCTTAATCTTAATCTAATTTTCATAATAGGTACCTCAACTTCATGAGACAAAACATTGAGAGACAAAACATTGAGAGACAAAGGTTTAAGAGACAAAATGAGAATCCCTTGTACTTTTGTTATTGACTAAACACTTATTTTCCACCACAATTTGCAATAAATTAATACAAAATTGTGTGATTTTTTTCTCATTTTGTCTCTCATAGTTGAGATTACAAACATGTCTCATCTTTTTAAGTGAGAGGACTTGCACAGGATTAGCTTCCTGCTTCTCGAGAGAGCAGTTGTGTCTCTCTGCTCTGCTTTTGCTTCGCCTTTTAATCTCCTTGAATCATTTTATTTACATTTTTTGTTTCTCCTTTAATCATTTTATTTACAAAACGAGGATTACTCCTTCTACACACTTCAGCTTTGTGGAATTTATCAACTTTAGTCATGTCGGGACGAAAGAGACGGAGAAGCGTCTGCGGCGGCTGTTGTGCTCTGGAATATCAGCTCAAATCTCTTCAAACACGGATATCTATTGTGGAAACAGAAATGGGACTAAACCCGACTCTTCCAATGAGTGAAAATGGGATGAATGGACAGACTGGAAATGTAAGTTATGACGTCATTTCTTTTCCCAAAATCAACAATGAGAATTATTGGAACAATTGCGGAGCTAAACCCAAAGTTGACAAAGCTAAGAATGACAATAGGAGTGAAATAAGGCCACAACTAATTAGTTCTGAAGACTTCAAACCGCTTTTTACCCCTTTCTGAAACAACAAAGCCGCTAACAACTGCAGCGCCTCCACCAAGGACAAACTGTGTCCTTATCGGAGATGGTTCGGTGAAAAATGTAAACATGGAGTCCATGCTCACTGTCTCAGTTCACTCTGCAAAAGTTGCTGAGATAAGGACTCTTCTGCCTAAAGTGTTATCTGAGAACAGTGGTGTGCGTACATTATTGATCCACACGGGGGCGGTAGATATCTATGAGAAGGCAAGCGAGAAGTTACGAATGGATTTAACGCTGTTACTGGATGACCTCAAGAAAATGGACATAAACATTTTTCTAAGTGGACCACTTCCAAATATAGATGGAAAAATTGAAAAGTTTAGCCGTCTGTATCAGCTAAATACATTCCTTCTCAATGAGTGTTCACGCAGAGGACTTGGCTTCATTGAAAACTTTAATCTGTTCTGGAATAGACAGGAGCTTCTTGAAGAAAAAGGTCCACATCTGAACAACTACGGAGTAAAAGTGTTGATGGATAACTTTGCATCTGCCCTAAGACCTCAGCCTGCGCAGCGCTTGCAGCCGTCGAAAGGGAGAAAGAAGAAGCAAAGGGCACAGACATCACGACCATCTCCACCGACTCCCGAGGTCTCTGCACCCCCACCGCCTCAAAAGAACTCCACACCTCCACAATTCAAGAAGAACTCAACACCTCCAAGGTTCCAAAAGAACTCAACACCTCCACGGCTCCGAAAGAGCTCAACGCCTCCACCACCAGCATCATCAGCAGCTGCCACATCTTCATCAGCGCCATCAGCATATACAGCACCACCAGCAGCAGTGGATACAGCAGCAGCAGTGGCTGCTCCATCATCTTCAGCAGCAGCAGTGGCTGCTCCATCATCTTCAGCAGCAGCAGTGGATACAGCCGCAGCAGTGGCTGCTCCATCA